AACCATTATACCCTGATTTCCCATTTTCAATGGGTTCAGGGTATAAAAAAAAAGAGGTTATATAACAATGAATTGACGTTGCTTTTAACTTTGTTAAAAATAAATCGATTTATTTGGTCGAGCATCCGTATTGTATGTAAAATATATACTTAAATTAATTAGAATATGATTTATTATTGAGAGAATTCAAACATATATCAATATTATAATAGAGATATTAACGATCATCATAGAAATTGTAGTAAAAACGCGACTAAGTGGATCCAGGAGCTCAGCCTCCGCCACCGCCGCCGCCAGAGAGTTCGTCCTCGTACTGCTTGCGGAAGCAGTCGCCCACTGGGAAGAAGTCCCAGCTGCGCTGTTGATACATATTCCACACGTACGTCTCCTGGCCAGTGTACTCGGTATCCGGTTTATTGATCAAATGCATCAGGAAGAACATATAGTTGGCCAGATTGTGCTCCTTCTGCACGTGCGTATCGAAGCCATGCGGGACTATATCAAAGAAGTCCTTGCCCATGCCACAAATAAAGCAATTCGATTCCATATTATCCTTGACCGATTCCAATTGATCACGCAGCTCGCCGAAGGCGTCGATAATCAAACCCTGGATGATGGCCAACAGGATGACAATGACGAAGAAGAAGAATGTGATGTCGAAGATGATGCGATAGACCTCATAATCATCTCCATCCGGATCCCCGATTTCGTCGCCAATGCCACCGCCTGCTCTAACGCCCTTGTACAAATGGAAGACGAAACAGGTCAACATGTCATGGCACTTCTTGTCCACCTCCTCATCCTCCTCCTGTATGTAGAACTTGCGGAAGAAGTTGAACGCAATCACGGTGTATATATAGACGATAATCGTCAGGAGCATCACGGTCAGCACGAGCTGCTTGCCATTGTGGGTTACCGACTGCAGGATCGTGCGCAGTGTCTTAAAGCCAACGGCCACATCCAGCAAATGGGCGGCAAAGAAGAAGTTGTTAAAGTTGCCCATCACCGAGAAGCTGAAGTACCACAGGGAGTAGAGGAAGGAGTTGTCCGTGAAGGTGACTCCAGCCTTCCACACCTGATAGCGCCAATCGATGTTCATGATGTAACGCAGTATGCCCGTCTCCTCGCTCTCCTGTGCCGTGAAAGCGCTCTTCTCCATGCCCAGCAGATTCGAGATTGAGTCAAAGTCGTAGGTCTCACTGTACTTTTGCCTGACCTTCTTCTTGACAAACTTATCCCAGTAGTTGACTGGGAAACTCTTGGCCGATATGACCAGCTTATCCCAGTGGGACTTGAAGTCATCATCCTCCGGCTGCTCGGCTATGAAGAGACCATCGAATTCCAGACGACGTGCAATTTCCTTCTCCCGCTTGAATATGGCCAGCGGCACCTTCAGATGATAGTACGCGATCAGCATGGCCAGCGATACCAGGGAGTGGAGCAGTGCGGCAATGCGTAGCACATGCTCCATATAGAAGAAGTCCTCATCCACGTGCACCAGTTCCGGTATGTCATCGTCTTCGAAATCGCCATCGCCCGACCCATCACCCGAGCCACCCAGGCCAGAGCCAGCCATATCAGCAGCGCCCGAACCAGAGCCCAGAATAAGCTCCTCTTCGGCCGATCCTTCCGATTCCTCGTTGAATGAGGTCACCTTGTAGAAGAGCAGCATAAAGTTAATGCTGAATGCCAAGACGAGCGCCACATATTTCAAATTGTAAAAGTTGCGAGCCAAGAAGCTGACGGCGCGGTGCGTGTACTGCGAGAAGTCGATCTGGTGCACCGCCGGTGTCTCTTGTGGTGCTGCCGATGACTTCTTGGCCTCCGCCTCAATGGATGCCATGGCTGCCTCTTGGGCCTTCTGTGCCTCCTGACGCTCTTGAGCTGCCTTCTTAGCCGCCTCACCGCCTAGCATATCGACAATTGAAATGGGTTCCTGATGCAGTTCGCCTTCGACTAGTTCTCCGGGTGCAGCTGCGCCGTCTTCTGGGCTAGACTCACCGCCCTCCTCCACAGATGAGCTGGCTGGCGACTCGTGCACCACCACCTTGTACATGCCGTTTTCCTCTTTGTTTATGTCCAGGCCAAATGCTTGAACCGGGCCCGGTGGCTCCTCTATTGGCAACGGCGGCAGCGCACGTCCAAATGTTTCCTCCTCAACTACAGCCACTTCATCCTCCTGCTCGGGTGCGGGACCACGCATCAGATTCAACAGAATGCCAAAGATATAGCGCACTACACAGTAGTGGGCATAGCCCGTGTAGTAGAAAATGTAGAAGATTATCTTAAAGAATCCAACAATCAGTTCAGGTATCGATTTCGTTTGCATAACTCCAATTTGGTGCTTGATGTTCGAGGGACTCAGCATGTGAACTCCGAACTTCAGGCCGTCCTTTACAGCAGTTATTGTGCGTCTAATCGGATCGCGAGCGGCGCGCTCTTCCTCCTCTTCGCTCATGTAGGAACTGTAGGCCGTATCTCGTTTCACATTGCCGCCGCCATCGTCCGTGGCCATCAGGCCAGAGGCGTGGGTCATCTCAAAGATCGCATCCTCACAGAAGTTAACAAATGCTTCCAGCTTTTCCTTGTCGCCGCCCTCTGTGACAATCGAGTAGAAGAAGGCGCGTTTCGATTCGCGAATCTGTGGCTTCTCCCATTGCTCGATGTTCGAGTCCTTGATCTCAAAGTAAACACGCTCGATACGCTTCGAGCTGCCCAAGATTTCGATGCGACCCAGGAACGGTTCGAAATAGTTTAGCACAGAGCCAGCGGTCTCCAGGAAGCGTGCCAGGCGCGGCTCATTGGGCATGTGTTCACTGAGATTGGTCAGCAGCACAGCCAGGTTGAAACCGATCTCCTTTGATGGCTCGTGGAAACGTTCGACAAAGGCTCTATAATCAATTTTGCCTTCGTGATTGCGTTCACAGCAGGCCAAAAGGAAATCCATTTCCTCCCTGCAAAATCGACAAATGATGAATATTAAATAGTTGTCTGATCTCATGAGGATTATTTTCTCTTACGGTGTGTAGTTCTTGGATTGCTCCATTTTGTCTCTGAAGTCCTTGGGTATTACCCAGCCCTCGTTCTTCATATCAATCTCATGGAAGCTGGGCGACTCGATCAAGTCGGCCAATTTCAGGAACATATCGAAATACTTGAGAATCAGCTCAACATTGCTAGCCGACTCAACAAGGGTATCCACCATCTGCTTGCCAATTGTGCCTGGGAAAGTATGGGAAGGTATTTGTAGCATTGGTATGAAAATCGTATATGAAAGACTTACCATTCACAACATTGCCTTCCAGCATGGACAACATCATGGTGATCATATCCTTTTGTAGATTGAGCAGCTCCTTTAGCAGATCCACCTGACTCGAATGCTTCGAGAGTTTGTCCTGCATATGCGAAAATAGAAATAGAAAACCGCCGACCGCATCCCACAATCTGGAATGGGCCAAGGCTTGCTGATTCAAGGTACACGGACCCTGGATGACCTCAGTGAGAGTATTGAACACTTGGCTAGCTACGCCGATGGCTTTGAAGAAGTTCGCCTTGCCAGCTGGGTCGATGATCTCCTTGCTGGAGTAGTGCCAATAGAAGTCCATAATCGATTCCTGCAGACGCAGCAAATAATCCACCGTACAGATGACCACATTCACCGTGGTTGTATTGCCCGCCTGGGTACGTAAATAGTTTTGCCATTCTAGAAGAGATAAGAAAATGTAGATATAGATTGGCTGCCAGATCTTTGCTGAGCGACTTACCCAAGTTGTGACCCTCGCAGGTTAGCTGAATGAATCGGAATAGAGCACACGTGAACTCCGCATCGTGCATATTCTTCTCACCCGCAGCGCCCTCCGAGCCGACACCAAGACCTGCACCCGCACTTGGAATATACTCTTTGTTTTTGTGGTTTGGGTTTTACAACGATAGCGGGGAACAGGTACATATACATATATACGGGATACGGGATATAAACGGCATGCGGGAAAGTAGTTGGAAGGAGAGACGAAATCAATAATTGAACTTAGAATAAGGCGCAGCATGAGACGTGATGATGCCAGAATCACAATAATAATAATAATAAGACTAATAATAATAGTGATAATCATAATCAATCATAAGTTAAGGGCTCAGCAAACGTCAAGCAGGATCGCATCTGGTTCACACAGCAAGGAAAATCACTAAGGAACACTTACCCTCGGCCTTTGTATTGCGCTCGAATGCATCCAGATCGAGCACACTGCACGAGTTCATCAGCCCGGCTATGGAGGTGAAGAAGCCCACATCCTTCTTCTCCTTCAAGTGATTCAACATACCCATTTGAATGTCGATGTTGCCGCCACGCAGTATGGCGATGCCCAAATTGAGTGTCGTCATGACCATCTCCGAAGGTATACCTTTGGAGGCGGATATGTGCAACAGCACCATTTCGGCAACGCCACGATTCGACAGACGCGCTTGATGGAACAGCAGCTTCTGTTTCTCCATTTCTTGTTCCTGTTGAGAATATTGGATAATTGTATTATGTATTGGGTATGTATGGAAGACGTAGCTGTTAGTGGAACGAATAGAGCTTTATTGCATTTTAAATCAATTAGCCAACTTTCAGTTCAACTTTCTAATCAGAATGCTGCAATATTTACCATTAGTTTCGACATGCGGCACTTTGCATTCAAATTAGATTAGTTAGCAAGCACAATTGGGATTAGGATAGGTTAGTACAGCATCATTTAGTATTTATTTTCAGTACATTCGCTTAGCTTACATGAATACTTGTGCCTTCGCCCTCTTCGCCGCCCTCACCGCCTTCGCCTTCGTCGCCGCCTTCTTCTTCCTCTTCGCCGCAAGACTTGGCTGCGATTTGTGCATAGGACATGTACAGTAAATCCTCTTGAAGTGCGCCACTGCGCTCTGTCATGGCACCGCGGCAGAAGGTGGTTACCAGCTGGGTCAACGGATCCGGCTTGCCGTCCGTTTCCTCTTCTTCCTTCTTCGATTTCTCCGACTCTTCAAATGTCTGCGTCAGATCCTCGATCATCACCTCCTGGCCAACGTTCTCCTCCTGCAGCCATTGCTCGTAGTAGGTGCGAGCAAAGATATTGCAAGCACGATGTCTACGGGCAACAAGAGATCGTTATTAATTCCAATTGGAATCTGAGGAATTTTAACACAAGTGGCATGCTTTTAGTATTCGAGTTAAAGTGCTAAAAACACTACGAAATAAAAGCTTATCGGTACGCCGAACACTCAACAAAACCCTTGCAGATCTGTTGGAAAAAGTATTTAATTTAGATGTGTGGACAGCGGACAGAGTGACCATGGAAATAATACAATTTAAATACAGCAGACTGCAAGGGCTTAAATACCAAATAAAGAGAAATAATTGCAATCAGTTGCATATTTAAATACATATGTATGTATAGGTGTATAAGACGATGTATAAGATATGTACATATGTTTATTCATATATTAGTATTTTTACGGCTACCACCTGCTCATACGATATAGATGCTTGGCGCGTAAGCTTGATATAACTGCCTGGCGTCGAGCGACCGAAATTTTGGAACTCCAACGTTTTGTTTTGTTCTTGGCGCCGGATGCCTATATGGAGCGGTACAATAGCAAGCAAGAGCATAAAAATACATACACACATATTAAAAGACAAGGATGAGTTACAGCACTACGGTCACACTAAGTGGTATTGCGTTTTAGTACATTTATCGTTAGTTGAAATCAGTGGGTTAACGAAATACAAAAAAAAAAGAAAAAATAAGAAAAACAAAGTGCGAAATGTGATGTAAATTAAAAAATCATATTCATTCAAATCTGTGTGTACAGGCCTAACGCTTGGTCCCATGTATTAGCTAAAGCTTTGTATGCATGTAAGTAAATAGATCCCGTTTGCTAAATATGTAACTAAATGTTGATCTTCATATAAAGTACCGTTACTTTACATACATACACACACACACTTGAGCCCATCAGCTTGAGCGGTTGCTTAAACGTGCGCACGCATGTGTATTAGTAATGCAGTGAATATATCGGTAATAACCTGGGTAGAGAATGTAGCGATGTCTGACGGAAACATGCGATAACGGCACGCTTCCTTTGTATTGACACAACGCTCCTGTAGACATTTTTGCTCTGCTGTTGTGGATGGTCGATCTGTAATTGTTTCGTTCACGATTTGGTCAGCAGTTGGAAATTATATGTCGTTGAAATGTACGTTATAGATTTATTTGGGGCAAATCGTATCGAAAAGAAAAGTTAATAAAAAGTGCAAAATTGAGAAAGTATATTATAAGTATAAAAGTATATATAGATATATAAGTAAGTAATATCAGTTGGTATTGAGAAATAAACATACATAGATATGTGTATATATAAAATACAAGAGAAAGGAAAGAGACTTGTATAAGAGTATATGTATTTGCAATACCATATGTGGGTATAGAATGTGAACCCCCTCACCCCGGCTACTTACCATATGCAAGCCAAACAGAACCTTAGCCATGGCCACAATTCGATCAACGGTCTCCGTCGTCTTGTCTTTACCCTTCTCATTCGAATTGGCATTCACCTTCTCCAAGGCCTGCTCATCGACTGGCTCCTCAGTCTTGCCCAGTTTCGAGTAGAGATAATGCTGCCACGACATCTCATCGGATGGGTCCAGTTTGTCGGGCAATGTCAACTGATTGCGTGCAAATTCTATGACATCGTACTCGTTCATCTTCTTCAAGTATCTATCCTTGCAGTGCTGCACCAGCTCCTGTTCGCGACCAGCGAATAGATTGAGGCCCACGGGCAGTAGACGCTTCAGACAGGCAACCATTAAGCTGGCCTGCACCTCCTTGTCCTTGTCGCGTTTCTTGTCCCTGTTCTTCTTCTTCTTCTTGACCTTGCCACCCACTGCCGGCACGCCCTCAGATATAGCCGATCGTCGTGTTGCCGTGGGCATTATCAGAGCCATGTTATCAATTTCATTGGCCGATATAAAGTTTTGCTCCTCCTTCAAGAAGTATTGGCTCTTTGACCAGATATTAAATATCTCGGCAACATGATTGTACAGCTCTTCGGCCTCAGGGATGTTGTCCTTTAGCCAATGATTGCGCTGCAGATCCACGTACTTGATGAGTAGCGGATAGAACGAGTATATATCTCGCACAAGCAAATTCCAATCCTCTTGTAGTTGCGTCTCCACTTGCGAAGTATCATCAGTGGCCGATTTGATAAATCCTCGCATGCTGTCCTCCTTGTGTAGCATGTTCTCGGTACGCTTCTTCACACGCTCCGCCAGTGGCAGGAATGGATCCTTGAGCAGCTCCTCTGATGTATTGATGATAATCTGCTGGGTGTAGGCCGCAATGCGTGTCATCCAGGGCGCGTTATCATTGCCAATGTTCTTCTTGATCATCTTGAGCACATTGCGCAGCAGCGAATTCATGTGATCCGCGGTGACCATGGTCACATGATTGCCACTGGTCGGACTGACGTTATCCGGACCCTGGGACCACCAGAAGGGCAAATAGGCGCAGAGCAGCGGCAGTATAACATCAATAATGTGCGGTGCATCGGCATAAGTCTTATCCGACTCAACAAACTGATCCACTTCATTGAGGATCGCTTCCAAATTGGGCATACAGCTTTCCATTTTGACCATAATGTCCTGGGCCTCCAGCGAATGGTCCGCAATGCGATTGAGCAACGAGTACTGATTGTGCTTATTGAGATGCGGCTCCAAATAGGCAACTGGGAAGCACGAGCTGTAGGCGCCCAAGCAGGAGCCCAGGGCAGGTCGATGCCTCTCGATTTCCGTTTTCAGATATTTGCGATCGTGTGTCAGTGTCGCATCGGTACCCAGGTGATATAGGGCCGCTAAAATCTTATAGGAGGCCACTTGAATCTCGTCGAGCAGCAGATCACTGCCATAATCACAGGCAGCCAGATGATCAAACATCGCAGTCAGCACCGGCAGCACCACCTGATTTACATAGCCCAGTGACGTGGAGGTCTTTAGGTGTGTACCACGCAAATGGCTGTACTTGCCATCCTGTAGATTCATGATCGTGTTGCCCAGATCATCAGAGGTTTGATTGAAGAACGTCAGCATAGATGTGCGTATGAATTCGGGACAGTTCTTGGTCAGAGTCTTGGCATCGATGCCCTTGACCAGCACTTGCAGGCAGCGCACGGTGATGCGCACATCTGGTCCAAAGGCGCTCAGTCGATTGCGCAACAGAGCTGCCAATTTGCAGAATATGGAGGCAACCATTTCCTTTTCCTTTAGCGATGCGGCGCCTATGTTATTCGTTGCCGTGGCAATAGCAATAAAATAATTGCGATGCGTCGAGAAGTACTTCTCCATTAGAGGCAACACGACCTTTGAGAAGAACTTGATGTCTCGCGATGCCGTCTTGAAGGAGCTGCGTCGGCTGAACGTGGTCGATGGCTTCAATAGCTTCATGTTGATGGTGGCACGGTCCAGATATTGGATAAGCTTCTCTAGCAGTGAATAAGAGAAGCGCAGCTCAACGGCAGCTTGTGTGGCACCGCCTTCCTCAACAGCGCCACCCTTTGAGGGCCTACAAATAAGCAGAGTTTTATAATGCATAAAGTTTTATATGCGTAAATCCTAGAGTAATCTTATACTGACTTGTGCAGCTTGTATCCCTGATACTGCATGTATTTGAGGAACTCCTGCGAACGCTCGCGATCCTTCTTCTTCTCCTTGTCGGTGAGCAGGTCATAGGGCACCAATTGTGGATGTATAACTCCGCCGCATCCATTCAACTCTTCGTTCTTCTTCTTCGCCCAAATATCGTGAGAGTTTTCGGCCAGACGTTCGGCCATATTTTGCATTTCTCTGCTGAGCGTCAGGTTGCTCATGTCCACAGGATGTGGATTATAGTTGAAGGGACTGCCCTCATTCTGAAAATCATGCTATTTGTGTAAGCATCAAAGGGGTTTCAAGTAAACGTGGAGGTGTGGAGGTGGCCAATTGTGCGATAGGGATATTCCGTTATTGGTAGCGTAAGAAATTTTGGGAAAGGCGTTAATGAAATCAATTTTTGGGAACAATATTTGGTTAGTCTATTAATGATATAATACATACAATTTGGGGCTTCGATTGACGACGCGTCGAGCCACGATGATTGAGTGGCAAATCGATTTCCGAGTGTTCAACGGTCCAGCCAATGGCCAAGAGACCTTTGAGGCATTCACGCACCGGATCTCGGTAGCGTTCACGCTCCTGTGAGGATGTGTAAATAAATATTAAATATAAATATAAATATATAAATAAGTATAGATATGTGATGTCGATTAGCGATGAGTAGTATGCCCATTAGAACGTTAGAAGTCGAGCTGATTGTTATTGTTATATGTATACTACGTACATATTCACTGAGCATATTGTAGGGCTTTAGGCGTGGGTGCTTGCGCTCGATATCAGATCGAATTTCGCCATATGTCCAGCCTCCCTCCAAACGGCGACTGGCCCAAGCATCGTGATAGTGCTCGCTGAACTTTTGAACCAGCGAATTCAAATCATTGTCCAAATGCACATTGTTCGTATCAATTGGATTTGGCACATATTGCGGTTGATCTGGTGCACCCATTTGTCTGCCATAATAGTCCTCATCGGTATTCTTCGATAAGCTATAGTCCGGTGGCAGGGCACAGCCGATGGCAATTAGGCAGGGCAATGCTTTACCGAACAGTTCCGGGTCATAGTCCATGTTGCTCAGCGAGTCAAAAATATTTGAGAAGAGAAGCATCGTTAGGCGCTTCTCCTCATCTGACGAAGCTCCATACGAGCCCTGGCCTTGAGTCGAGCCATAGTACTTAGCGCAGCGATCGAAGTGTAGTGTGAGCAGCTAAAAATACAAGAGAGTTGATTAATTAATGATTCTCTTGAAGTGGGCCGAGAGTATGGAACTTACCCTGAGTGCAACGGTCGTATATTCGGATAGCTTGGATACATCAACAGTCAACTTGCGCAATAGCTTTAAGAGCATGGCAGGTTGCATTTGTGACGTCAACGCTACTAGAAAATCGGATACTGCCTCTCGCTGTCCCTTGGTTAGCATACGGTTCTTGGATAACCTATAGACCGTGTGCAGCGTGGCATCCAAGAGACTTGCATAGTTCTCAGCCTCGTTATAGAACTTTGAGTGCTTGATAAGCAGCGGCAAAATGGAGTTGCCAATGTAGCGATTCATGGCCAAGGCCATATCGCTCTCAGAGCCATCGCTCTTATCCAAAATTGTGGCTGTACGCAGATCTGGGAGAAAAGCGTCTTCGAGCAGCCGATAGAAGAGATCTTGTGTCTCAATGCCGTAAACACGTTCCAAAAATAGGACAATGCTCTGCTTGTTATTGGGTAAGAGGCCAGATGGCATATCCGATTTTGGTTTCTCCTCACCGGGAGCAGTTTGGGTGAGTGTAAACTTTAGGCTAAGCACACCTTGAAGGTCTTCCAGTGGCACAAGAGATCTCAAAATAGCTCTAGCTCTCAGTGATTCGTTCTTGCCTTGCTCGATGACAGACACGTCGGGGGCGCATCTGCCCAGCAGGTCAACAAGTGTACAATAGAAATTTAATATGGCGGCACCCGTATCGATGTAGTCCTCATCTTCGTCGCCTTCCGGCAGGGGATGGGTAAAATTAAGTCCAGCTATGGTGCCTTCGGCTTCGTCTTGCATTTTGCAACGATCCGATATGCGCTCCGACATACGATTGGCCTCGACGATTGCACGGAAGAGACCTTCCCCTTCTCCTCTTAGAGCCGGTCCCAAACATTCTGGACGACGGATAAGAAGACGAATGACAAGGTTGGCATTCTCCTCGACACTCTCGCCATTGACCCAAACGCAATAGCGCAAAAAGTCCAGATATCGTTCACCCTCGACCGGGTCCCAGCCCAAATCGGGATAGCCCTTCTCGACCAGCTCAGAATTGCTCTGCAATCCACATCTGGACAGGTAAACTGCAATCTTCTCCAAATAGTGTTCCCTAAGTGCCAGAGCTAATTCTGTGTTCTCCATTAAACTCGAATATGCCACATCCAATGGGGTGGAACCACGCAGACTGGGCCTGGCTAACAATATGTTCGCATTGTCCAGCAAAAAGTCAAAGTGATCGAACATGGCCTTCTGATTCTGACGTCCGGTACGGCAAAAGTAGCATAGGAAGCGACAACAAGCCACAACCATTTCGTGCGAGGTGTCTTTCTCTTTTGAGGGCACGCCCTCGGCTCCCTCGGTCTGGGCGGGGGCATCGCTTTGTGCCTGAGCACGACGGCCTAGAGTATTCATCATGACGGCCATTACGTTTTCGTGCACACGTAAGATGCGTATCAAATCCGGGTGCTGGAAGAATGTGGCGTTGTTTACCAGTTTCCATAGACGCTTACGCATCAGCTCCTCTTCTTCCTGGCTCATTTGTACGGGCAACAATGCACGAATCTGGCTTAAGCCCACCCACATCTCAGCCACATCATCTCGTGCGCGATTGTTGATCACATAGGTCTTTTCGAGAGCACGTACCAGCTCACCGACCGTATCGTATTGCCGTACCAGCAAGCTGAACATTTCGCGAACTAATTTTGGATTCTCGATTTGTGATTCCTCAGCCCAGCTGACGATGGTTTTGATTAGGACCTTGCGGAAAACCTCTTCAGGTGTCTTTTTCTCAGGCTCCTCCACTTCTTTGGGTCCCTCCTCAAGCTCCTTGACGGTATTGATGAAATTGTAGATCTTTGTAATGGGTCCCGTTTTGACCTCTTCGATTGCATTTGTCTCAGTACCATCCGGCTCCTGCAGCGCATTCAGCGATACCTTTTGCATTAGAGAGTCGTGGAATTCGCTTAAGCGACTGCGCAACTCAAGACCACAGGTACAGTTGTCCTGATCGTCAGCTTCCAGATTCTTGAAGCAAAGAATCTGATTCATTTGTTCTCTGGGTGGACAACGGAATTCCTTAGTCTTTTTGGCCGCAACAGCACTTGGCAAATCGGATTGTTTAATCTCAATATAACGGCGCAACTGATCGGTTTGCAGATCGCCCACGAAATCGTGAGAGAATGCTATAATGCTCTCCACCCGATGCCGGAGCTGTGTGTCGTATAGATGGTGCAATAGATAGCACATTTGTAGCTTGGCTCCCTCGGCCATTTTCATGGTGAGCAAACCCTTGCGATGCTCATCCTTGCCCTCTGCAAATAGTGAATGAAACCAATTAGATATGTAACATATATAGGATATTCTAAAAATATAGAGTAATTTCTTTTGCTTCTCTCCCACCTCTTGCGAAAGTGGGGTCCCAAGTCTCTGGATCCACCATTACTAATAGTTTCTGTACGTCCTCATCAGTAAGGACGCCAACTAACAGTAGGCGATCCGTTAGCTTAATGAGTGGCCTATAAGAATTAATAAATATAGTTATTAAATATGGAATGTATATGTATATGGCTCTACTTACAAGAATAGATTCTCGTTGGTCCAACCGATGGGATCACGGTTATGCACTTGATTTATTTCCACTGCATCTTTAAGGGCCTCCATTACAAATTCTCTGACTACTTCTAATGGGAACTTCGGGGAATACAACTGATCGATGTTGGGTATCGGTTCGCTGGAAACACTTGGCATACTAGATGTTGCAATCACAGGGGGACTGAACGGGTGGAACGGTTGTTGTTGTTGTTGTTGTTGTGATCGGTAATCGGTATCGGTTCGATTGATGGTGCATAGAGTGTTGGATCAGTGCAGGTGTTTTTGTTTTTATATATTTTGTTTTGTTTTTGTTGGATTGAAAGTATTGGAAATAAAATGAGTTATGAGGAAATCACAGGTGCATCATGACTAAACTAAACCATCGAGCGATCGAGCCATTCATACTTAAGGCTCGTCGTCGAAAGCATGGACAAGTATGTGAATGTGATATACTACAAGAGTGTGTTTAACCAAGGAACTTAGCCTAGATCACTTAGCACTTACGTGATTTCCGTCATACGCAACTGTGGGCGCACAGACTCCGTGACAAGGGAACGAAGTGAGTGACGCATCTCATCCTCAGCATACAGTTCCTTCAGTTCGGGGCCCAACGGTGTAATATACTCATTCTTGCATACCTCCATTGTGGTGGCATGCGATTCCAGATGCAGCGCTATCAGCAGATCATAGAATCCCTGACGCAGTGGTCCACTCATATACTCCGAGCGTATGGCATAGAGCAGCTGCTTCTGATCGACATGCTGGCAGAGCGCGTGCGCGGCACGATAATTCGATTGGTAGCACAGCGCAGCGTAGAGCGTGAGCGTGTGAGCATGGAAGGAGAGCAGTTTGTCCATTTCGATCAGCTCCAGTATGTCGATGCAGCGATCCTCCTCGGGTATGTGCAGGGCCAGCATTGATACTGGATCCTCGCAGAGCATGGACCAGCCCCGGATATCGGACAGTTTCAGCGCATGCACCTGCAGTGAGGTGTTGGGCACACGCGCCCATTGATGCGGACGCAGGCACTGCACCTTCAAGCGAGGCGGCGACTGCGGATTGATGTGCTTGTCACTGGTGGGCAACACGGCTGCCGACAGTGGGAGCGTGGTTGGCGTGCGTCCCAGCTCAATTTGCAGGATCTCCTTGCTGGTGGCTTCGACGAAAATGGCCGGAAAGAGTTTGGTGTCCGGCTCCATCATCCAGCGATGCGAGGTTTCCTTGCCCTCGCAGGTGAAGCGTATTATGCCCGTCGCCGTGTCCACAAAGCAGCCGACAAACATACCCTGCGATGCACCTTTGCCAGAGGCATCTTGGGTCACCTCATTGAACAGCTCGTCGGCGCGCACCACATAACAGCTCTGACGATCGATGCGCTCAATGGGCACTTCATAATAGTCCTCAATGTAGACCGAGGCGCGTCGCACCTTATTCTTATTGAACTCGCGACTATGCAAATGGTACTGGGTGGTGACCCAGCCCACGTAGACGTGGGTCGGATCCTGGCCAGGGAATATGCGCACACCATAGAAATATTCGTTGATCAGCTTAAGGCACTCGGCATCGAACATCTCATTGCCCGACGATTCCACTGGTGGCTGGCCCAAATTCGTGGAGCTCAATTGCTTTGGTCCCTGAGGCACTGGACTGGGCGGTATTTCGGCCTAAAGTGGGAGAATACATAACTATTTACATAGAGATATCGTTTCCTACTCACATTATTCAGACGTAACGTTGGCGTTCGTGTTGTCATCTGCTGGTTAACCACGTTTCGGCCATGGGCCACCGTGTTTCGGCGCTCCAGCGATGTGTCTGCGGTTCTCGAGCCATTCTTCTCGCGGCTCTGGTCACGTGACTTCTTCGAAAAGAACTTGAACGGACTGCGGCCGCGTTTCTTTTTGTCATCCAGCTCATCGCCCAGGCCATTCATGTCCAGCACGGAAGTCGAACGCTGCATCTCGTCCAAGGCAGCCGTCATGTCGGTCTCGAATGTTATGTTCCGGGTGAGAGAGCCTTTGCGTGGCGGTCGTGGTGGACCGCGCATCATATGCTCAGCCTCGGCCTCGGCGTGATCATCGAAATTGCGCGTCAGGCCCTTAATGTCGTTCATATTGAAGCCGGACTTGAGCATGTGATCCATGTGTGCAGCATTTTGGGTCTGCATCTGGATGGCTGCCTCTTGGGCCTCGCGCATTAAGCGATATTGGCGTAGCTTGATCTCCTCCCAGCGTCTCGCCTTCTCCTGCTCACTGATGAAGTCGCTCATGCAGGTGACAGGCAGGGAGAGACGCAGGAACTCCCAATTTGCCTTCTCCATGGTCTCGAACGTATTGTGCGAGATCTTCAAATGGGGCGGAGTATCAGCTCCGCCAGGTATGCGCGTCACATCGATGCGGCAATCGGGCATTTCCTCGGTATTCTCAAAAATCGGCTGATCCTTGGTATACCAATGCGTCACTGGGCGTTGCATATTGCTGTGAATTGTAAATTGATGGGAATTACAGTTGCATCAGCATTCAATTTGCTTTCCCTATATACTCACACACAGAATGGCTCGTAGCCCTCTTGCAGACCGCAGGTGGTAAAGAACTTGAGGGAGTCCACATCTTGGCCATAAATCAGGCGCGCCTTCTGGCCCACTCCCAAGGTACAGGCGGGCACAAAGCCCACGCCCTCAGCGGTGACATCGGCGAACGTTGTCTCGCCACCCAAGGCATCCATAAGTAGTTCTCCATTCAACGAGAAGCCTGTGCAGATGATTGAATTTGATTAGACTCTCACTGAATATATGGACTTTGATTATGTTTATATTAAAGTATCTAAACGAAGCTGCTTTTAAATAAATTAAGAGTTCTAGTCAGGCGGAAATCTGCGCAGGATCAAAAAATGTTTGGTGCGTACTAGTTAATCGATCCCTAATGCCTTGACTTTCTAAATAGAAATCAAAATTCATCTAAAAGTCGCATCGCACTAGAACAACAAAATGACAATGAAAGAAATCCTATGCAAAGTGCGTGCGTATTAGATTTTTTTTTTGCAATTCTCTGTTTGCAGTTTCATCCGATTAGTTGGCGCAAAACGAAAAAGCAGTTTCAGCTGTTAGATATCATGCCAAATTCTTGTATATAGTATGTAGTATATATATATATGTATTAGTAGACGAATTGAAAGCGAAATTGAATTTCATTTTCAATCATTGATTAGTCAAATTTACAGGCAAATCGAATTAAGTAAGAAGCTTTTTGATTTTGACTGGTTATTTGTTTTAGATGAGCTGATGTGTCACCTTTTGCTCAGGTAGTCCTTCGATATATTATGCAATAGTTAGGCTTTAGTGATCAAAGTAATAAAAATCAGGTGTTAGGGCATGGGACATTTGTTGGACTTAAAAAAAAAAAAATACAAAAAAATACAAAAGTGAAAGTGATCAAAAATGGTCTAGAAAATACTTCTAAAAAAATGCAAATTTCATTTGATTCTCTTTTCTTTTGTATATAACATTATCCAATAGGTATGAAGTTCGATATGTGATGGCCTGTTCGAAAAGTGTGTTTGTCTCTATAATTGGATTTGCATTTGCTTTCGGGTTGTCGTTGGAACTTTGCTGAGTTGGTTTGGATATGTACTTAGCTGTCGTATAGCAGGGACCTGGACATTTAGTAGATATCAAAAGCACGGATGTACAATTCTTGTATTGGGGGTATTTCAATTTTAGTTTTTTTCTGTTTTGTTTTACATTACAACAAACGAGCGAGCATTCAGAAGCAATTCTTACTAATTGTATGATCGGCTAGATCTAAAAAGACTCCGACTATATCCCCGGGTCCGCATTGTTTACCAAACGATTCACTGTTGCCACCGTAGACTTTCTCTTCCTAAAAAGTTGTAATTTATTGTTTAAAATGTATCAATTGAGCGCATGATCTATCAAAGCCCCAATTAAACGTATTGTTTACTTTTTTTTTTGTTTGTTTGCTTGTTTTGGTTAATGATCAGATATGAGAGTATCGCTAAATTATATATATATATAACGAAAAATGTATTGATTAGAGAACAAATAAAATAATCGAATAATAATAGTAAAAACTAAAGTTGAGTTGAGTAAAATAGAATAGAGTTAAACAAAATGCGTTCGATCATAACGAAAGTTCAATAAGTAAAGCAACGTTGCTAATGTTGCTTGTGCAGCTAGGATCCTTACTGATGGTTTGCTCCTTAACATCGATGAAACAACCAATGACGTCACCAGCCTCATAGCGAACACCAAAGTGCTCGATCGTTCCGGCATGCATTTTCGTTACCTATAATCATTATCATGTTTGGAGGGTTTTGAATTTGAGCTTGCATTAAAGTCGAGCCAAACGTTGTGAACTAGACATCACAGCACATTTACCCACAAATGGAACCTTCGCTCATCACAATATACCAATCATCCTACAATAGGTGAAACTAGAACCCTGCATACTCACATTGTGGCCATCGAATGCCCAGCTGGTGTCCTCGCTGCCCAACATGGCGCCCGGATAGCAATCGGCCCGGGCCCAGCCCACGCGCATCGGACCCGCTGTCAGGACCTCGAACTCGAAATACCATTTGCCAGAGGTGACGGCGTAGTTGCGTTCCACGCGATACGTCCGGAAGGCGGCGAACTTGAGGCGTTGCGCCTCGGCTAGCAGAGCTTCGGTGCCCTCGCCGGTGGGCGGATCCAGGACATAGCCGTAGACCAACAGGGTGCGCACCGTCTCGGAGGCAGTGTCCCGATTCGCCTTCTTGATGGCCTCATCGACCTTGGCATAGGGCACCAGGTGGGGACTGCGATGATTCTCCGAGTCCTCGTTCAGGCCGTAGGTCCAGCCCTGCTGGATGCGCTCGCGTGCCCACAGATTGTGCGTGTTCTCGGCCAGCTGATCGACGAGCTCCTCCAGCTTGGGCGTCAGGGTCACAGCGCTCAGGTCGAGCGGTGCCGGCTTATAGCCGTTGGCCTGCATAAATATCTCGTTGGGCAGCCGCACGGGTCGTATGCGTGCCGGTGGCTTATCCATGGTTATGTAGTAGCCCAGTGAGATGATAGTTCTGCAAATGGAAATAACATTAAATCAATTTGGAGTCTATTTTAATCTTTGGCTGCTAATTACTTCAGTGTTTGGACCGCTAGTTGATTGTCGTAACGTTTCTCAGCAGCTGGCAGCTTCTCGAACTGCGTGAGGCAGGGATGTATGCGATGGTAGTCGTCGCGCTGCTCTCCCCAGGTCCAGCCGGCGTCGATCTTGTTCAGGGCCCACATCTCGTGTATGTTCTCGGCGAGCTTCTCCTTAATCTGATCCACAGAGCTGGGCAAGGTTACGCCCGTCGTGTCCACTGGCTTCGGCACAAATGCCGTGTCGTCCTCGATGAGCCAGGGACCGGCGAGCACATTTTTGCTCAGATTGCCAAAGTAAAAGCAGGGATCCAAGCTTAGGATCTGATGCGGCATCAGGCACTGTACGAGCGCCGAGAAGCCCACGGGTGGGGCATACTTCAGGCGGCCGTGATCGCCGCCAAAGAGGAAGCGACAGCTGAGCTTGGAGGAGCAGCTCATCACCGGGAAGAACATGCCGTCCAGATTGAAGTCCCTGAAGCAGCCGCGCACCTTGTTGCCGTTAAAGGTGAACGTAATGACCGGCACGGAAAGATCTATGGCCACGCCAACGACGTCGCCCTTGCGTATGTACGGCTCCTCGGGCAGTGCGTCCGCCACGAGCGTCTTGCGTCCTCCCGTCCACAGATGGGCGCCATCGAAGCCGAACGAGTAGAGGTCGTCGCCGACGCCGTTGCCGCCCCACTTCTTGCCTCCGCCCGGATAGGGCACGTAGCCGGAGGTGTTGGCCCAGCCAATGCGTAGGTGCGGCATTATGTGCGTGGTCTGCTCGATGTGATCCATGGTCACCTCAAAGTACCACTTCTGGTACATGGACGAGCCATCGACGCGTCCCACAAAGATGTTGGGACGTATGCTCGCCACATGGTCCACCAGCAAGGTTTGCAGCAACAGATTCTTGCCGGGCAGCAGGAAGTCACAAATGTTGTTCTGCGAGGAGCGCACCGCGACTCCATTGCCCACACACAGGGAGCAGAGTACATCGAGAACCTTGGGATCGCGACCGTGTTTTTCGAGCAGCGATATAATCACTTTAATATGCTCGTCCCTCATCATGTTCAGCGCCTCGGGCGAGTCGATGAGCACACAGTGGAGCACATCCAGCATGCCGGAGCCCTCGCTGGATGCCTGCGAGCCCAGGCGGGAGAACAGCCAATTGAGGCGATTGCTGTTCGCGAACTGCGCGCAATTGGTGTGATTGCCCTTGATGATGGCGGCCAGCAGCTGGTAGAGATAAGTTGAGATTAGATCCCAGCTCTGGCCAGTCTCGTCGCCGGCCAGGAAGCTGGCCAAGAAGCCTTGCGAGGTGATTATATTAATTTTGTCAATGGCCTCCAAAATGAGATTGAGCACGCCCTCCTCCTGGAACAGATCCTGGCGATTGCGCAAGGCACGAAAACGATTCTGCTTCTCCTCGTGTTCTATGGGAAAGCAAACAAGGTTTTTAATGCTATTTAGGAGGCTTCCCAGTTTGCTTACCCATATCATCTTCTGGCTGCGAAAAGTAATTGATTAAATCCTCCAGGCACATGACCATTTCGTTAAGATTAACTTTTTGGAAGAATATTGAATGTCGACGATTCGATTGTAGGGTCTCCAAGGCGCTGCAAAGTGCAAGAATCAATTAGAAGAATCAGTATATTGGGGAGCTGATAGGATAGATAGCTTACGTTATAAACTGTGTGAAGAGGCTGCTGCACTTTCGAATGACGCGCGCCGTCTTCGATTCCTCTTCCTGGGAGCGCGAAAAGTCCAGGCAATCGTCCATTTTACCCTCCTCGTGGAGTATGGCCTGTTTCTCCTCCACCTTGCCGACGCCCTTCTTTTTCGTTTCGTAGCTCTTGTAGCTGAGCCACAGGCTCGATTCGCAGTGCTGCACGATGACGGTGGTGTCACCGTATTTGATGATCGGCGAACCGATTACCTCTAAGTCTTTGTCCTCGAGTACTTTCTTTTCGTCGTCCTTTTCTTGCCTCAGGCAGAAAGTCGTCGTTGCAATCGATGCCTCCTCCTTTTTAACGAGGATTAGCTCGTTGCTGTCGTTGACGCCCAGATAGCGTCCCGTCGTTATATGACGTATACGCATGGGATGATACCAGTTTATGAAGCCGCCCGTCCACTTCGTGCGCGCCAGCTCCAAGCGCCACAGAGAACGTGCCTGAGCCATGACCACGCCGCCCTCGTATATGACAATGCTGTTGAGCAGTGGAGTGGCATTAGTGTTGTAATTGAATCAGTGTGGACTTAAGTAGCGGCTTACTTTTGACCTGCCTCACGGCCCCAGGTGCTGGGTATGGTCAGGCACTCGTCGCCGCCATGAAAGAAACGCAAGACATCGCCGCCGAACACATAGCCAACGTATTTCATGCGTGAGATGCCGGTGCCGTAGGGCTGCACGGACCAGTGGGTCACATGGAAGCTGGCATTCACAATGGACTGCTCGTTCTCCTTGGTGGTGTGCAGATACCGTTCGGTGGCCACCGATACCAAAATCAAATCATCACCCACACGAACCTTTTCACCCTCCGAACGCTGTTTGCTCGCCGGATGTACGGTCCACCAACAGGCCTCGCCCTGGCTATGCTCCTGCAGACCCACATCGAAGGAGAGCTTATCGTTCGACGACGATGTTGACAAACAGGCCAGATACTGTTCCGTGGGTTACATTATAATTAAATTCATTTCAGATTATCCACATATGTATATAATGGAGTCACATCTCTCTCAGTGCTTAGCTTACCATATCGCTGTTGTGATGCCTCAGGAGTATGGCATTGCCATAGAGCAGGGTTCTGTGGCCGGATCCGGTGCCCTTGCCCTGTAGATTTGAATAGTAATTAGTAAGTAGTAAGCAGGCGAGATAGATGATTCTTAATCGCATTTAGAGAAGGTATATGCTTGGTTCTCTCTACGCTACTACAATGTGTGTCTCTGTGTGTGTGTGGAGAGTGAATTTTCTATTTGGTTCAGTCAGAGAAAATCCAAGAAGGTGATTAATTCTATATACATTCGAGCTTCGATTTTCTCTGAGTGTACGCCGTGTTGATAATTAGCATTTGTGTAGTTGAGAGTCGCACTTGAAGTTAATTGAGAATGCGATGCTAGCGATTCGCTCTTAATGAGCATGTCAATGAGTTTGTTAAATGCGGTAAAGAGCAATTGATTCCACGGTCTGATTTTTAACAAATCGTAGAAAAAACATTTACAAAGAGACAGAAATAGAGAAAGAGAGAGAGAGATAGAGAGAGAGAGAGAGCGAGTTATACATAGATTTAAACTAGCTGAAGCCCGCTGGACGAGACAGTGAAGCAAAGTGGCAATAATAGCAATAATAATAATAATAATAATAACAAATACTACATTAGACCGGCAGAGTGAGATAGAAATAGAATAGATACAGCAAGATAGTTATAGTTATAGATAAAGAAAGTATAGAGAAAGCAGCGCGATTTTTAAGTCAAAAGAACATTCTGTATACTTACAACTTGACTATCCTGTTGGGTATTTAGAAAAATTTTGAAAAAGAACCGAAAAATTGATAGGTTACAATTTGTGTGAAAATAGAAATGGAAATTGTTGTGAAATCAACATGCAGAAGGTAAATAGTATATATGTATATATGTAGAGTCAAATTTTGATAATAAATTAAAACCAGATTATGGACCAGGAATTGGATAGAGGAAGAGACGAGAGTAGCATACGACTTAGAGTGAGGAGAGGGAAGACTTCATATCTCAATAAGTTTTCGTGTTGGTTTTTGATATCGAAGACGGTGTCAAGTGACTCTTGATTATTATTATTAATATATTGTAGTTGGGGGACTTACGGTCTCTGATCCGGCTGCTGTCACCAGTTCCTGGAGCGCGCGCACCGACAGCGCCTGTTCGATGACAAAGACGCATTGCGATAAATCGGGCGGCACATTCTTATCGGCAATGTTCTCGAGAAAACAATGCCGATTACCAAATCCCTCGGCGGCCAGACAGACACGCTCGCCAGTCGCTGTGCAGGAGAGCGTGACCATATCTTCCTGTAAATTGAGAGATCAAATTTATTAATCACAGTGTTTATTGATTGCGCCCAGTCAGCAGGCAGAGAGAAGGGGAGGTAGAGGCGGAGCACCGCCGGCATGTCATGCGAAATAGCAAATTCCAATTGGTTTACCCAAGCGTCCATTCAACCAGAAGCTATGCCACACGCAAAACGAGGCCGATGAATCGTTGCAAAATGGAGCGTTTACGTGGATGTTGCCAAATTTGAGGCAATACAGGCAACAACAACAGCAACAGCAAAAGCCACAAACACAAACCCGGCCTCAACACCCAGACTAAGTGGGATGTACAACCCGAATTGTGTGTGTGCGTGTGTGTGCGTGTGTGCCTGGTGTCCAAGTTAAATGAACGGTAATGGATTTCAAATCGAACAATTTACATAATTTAAATCGAAACGAAACGAATCGCCCCATTGCAGGAGTTAACTCTGGTCAACTGTTTAGAGACAACAGCACTGAAGTTGTACATTTGGCTGCCTTTTGTTACTGTTTTTGTGCATTGTAATGCACAATTAATTAATGCTTGATTGTCAGGCAATATATATTGTGGTTAGATTACATAGAAGAAACAAATTCGCTCGAAGTCTAACAATAATAATCTAAGAGATTATTTAGTTTGTGGTTTGCCGTGTCTTTATTCGATTATGGAATAATGTATACACAGACTAGGATAGTACTTAGTGGAAAAGAATCAGACTATATTCTATAGTGGTTCATATACATATAGCTATAATATCATCGTAACGTTACAATAATATCTAAAAGTCACTGGATCCCATTTTCGTCTCTCAAGCTGCTTAAGATCATTATTCTTGATACTTTAAAGACAATGAGAGAGCTCTAGTTACTATATTCACATACAAAGTTGGAATTCGCGCAACGATTCTTTTCGTTTTATTATCTGAATAGAGCGTTAGACTTACTTAGTTAAGAGATTCGTGTAATAGATTATGCTTTTATGAAAATTAATCATTTAACTTACTTTAAGCCTTAGTTTACTAGAACAGTATAATCTGTATAGAGTCACATCAAATATAATATTTAACCATTGTATATAGAACAATCAACTTAATATCACAATAGATGCAGACCTACTATAATATTCCTATTAAACACTCTTCTATGCAAACATTTGCCTACGGAAGAAAAAAAGGATGCAATTTGCTTAAATTATGTTTCGCATCTTGGGCAAACATTTTGTAAAACTTGAGAACTCTTTATAGCATAACTACATCTAAAATTCCACCTATTAAATTCTCAATGCGACCTATTTGGGTCAGAGAAGAGTGTAAATACAGGCATTGCTATAAATTCGAAAGAATTATCGTTAAGTCTAATTTAACGGCAAACAACTAAAAAAAAAAATGGAAGCAAAGGGAGCATAAGGAAAAATTGCTCCCCCGGCGTAGCTGTCCGGGGAAAACAGCAAATCGAATCCCCCAACCGCGTCGAACGTATCAAAATGGTCAAAGTGAAAAAACACTTAGAGTCCTGCCAGAGCCTATACTATGTATGTATATGCGGAGCATATTTATTGAATTTGAGCAACGAGTGGGCGCCTGGCGGGCAGGCACAGCAAAAGGAAATAGATACGGATACAAGGCATAGCCATGGAATGTGTTTATTTATTGCAGCCAGGTGCTCGTCGCTGACCTTCTGGCCCCAGGGGGCGGGCTGGCGAGCCAGCGAGCGCCAAGGCAAAGACGAGCGAACGAGGAGTGCCCAAGTCCAAGTCGCTGGTCACTGATGCCATTTATTTATAGCAGACAAACACATTCACACATAATGACTGTCATTTTCGGCGTCAGGTGTAGTCATTGATATATCTAGCCATACAGATGGAATATATAGATATAGATATATATACAGATATGTATATCCATCTCTTTTGTTGTGTTTATCTAGCGTTTATGTAAATCGAAGCAAACAAATCTGGCGAGAGCTTAAAAATTTGCTGTGATTGAAAAGTGTGGACCTGACATTTCGTATTTATTGGCAGCCATAAAGAAAGTTGGCGCTCTCTGTCTGTAAAGTCGGCGCCCATAAATATCCAACATCCTTTATGGAGTTCTAGCTAACATGTGTGTGTGTGTGTGTGTTTGTGTGGGTGTGTTTGGTTTATGACATCAATTGTGTGAAATCCTCGCTAATATTTTATTGACTGAACGTAATTGATTTGAGATGTTTTCCAATATTGTTCATACGATGTGATTTCATTTCATACCCAGTGAATATGACTCAGCAGGTTAGCATGATTTTGCGCTAGACTATGTAACAGGAGAGACTATGAAGTATATTTATTTCTGATTAGGTTAAGCAGCCAAAAGGGTTTAACTGTTTGTCAAATTCAATTTAAGATTTCGATAAGTTTTCCTGGTAGCTCAATCAAAGTTTAACACTTAACATAGTCTATAGCTATAGTCGCAAGAGTAGTTCTCTTTCTATAGCCTAAGCAAACTCTTATATAAATATACAAAAATTCGCCTATTTTTCCATTTTCCCAAAGCTATAAAGTTATCGATTAAATTCGATATACAACTCTACTTATCTGATGATATTTCGTGAGGCTTAGCCGCTGGGTTTATTTAAAGTTCATACAAAGATTCTCATAGAAGGAAATTTGCTTTTGGTTTGGACACTCCCATCTTCTTATATATTAATATCTATGTTCTTTATTTTGAGTACTTACCGTACGCAGGAATGAAACATCATCCTGCTCGGAGCCACCTTCCGCTTCAGCCATTTTGCCGGTTAACGCAACGACTGTAGCGTCCAAACAGAGTTTGATGCAATTATTTTTGTAGTATTTCGATTTCTTTGTCTATGTGACCGGGTAACTCAAACAGGTCCCTAAGTGGATTAAAAGAGGTTTAAAACTAAATAATCTGCTTACCAAACACACATACGCACACGTTCCGTTTTCATGCCTGATTAAGAAATTGCCATCAAAATGAGAAAATAAATAAAAAATGAATGAAATATTACAAAATTCTGTTCTGTTTGGGTTTTGTAAAAATAGATTAACGCTCAGTAGAGAGTTCTTTAATTTCTCTCTCTGTCTTTCGCCCTCTCTCTCTCTCTGTTTCTCTCTCTTCATTCACGCTCACGCTCTCGTGGAGGGCTCGTCGGGTCTTTTCATAGTGTGTCATATGCTTTTCGGCTTGCCAAGTTCGCTCAGCTGTTTTTCCTTTGCCGGCTTCTCTCGGTTTTCACTTTTGTTTTTCCTCCACTCTTCCTTGTTGTGATTTCTGTGTCATTTGTCATTTGTCGTTCCGCTTTGGCTTGCGCTTTCGCGTGTTTTCCCAATTGCCTCAGATGTTTGTTAATTGTATAAATAGGCAGATTCGATTTAAGAATCGCCGCGACTCTTTGGTGCTATGCCAAAATTTACTGCGGACTCTTAGCCGCAAATATGCGCATGTTACGTAGACAGAACATATGTATTCTAAATAGATATATTGAAATTGAGGCATTCTTTCGACAGATCAGAGCATGACATTAGGAATATGTGTATGTATGGGTAGTTAGTTTAGATAGACTTAGAATATGATATTCAAATTGTATATATATAGAGGAAGTTCTATTATATATATCTCTATATTATATATTCATATTAGTTTATTTATATTTCAGATTGAGAACGCATCAATTGATTGTTGTTTTTCACTGGGACACTAGGCACTGCGAGCATCGGTAATCCAGGGTCCGATGGCACGCAGGGTACGCAGCATCCATATACGATATATGTATATATATTGAGATTTGTATACCCGGCACTAGCACGAACTATAATCTATATCTATATCTATTAAAGATTTCGATAGGTATATGCATATATGTGTATGTGCGTGTGTGTGTGTGTGTGCCTCAGCTACTTCTTTCAATCTTCAATCGGGTTTGCAGCACTGTCGTGTGTTTATTTTTGGGTATCATCGGGGCCCGAACACGCCATCCGAATCAGCGACGAGAGACGAGCGCACACATGTCCAAAAATATCACACGCAAAGACCTGGGCAGCCACAAAAAACTAGCACAGAATTTGAATTTGAATTTTGCTCAGGCGTTTTTCACACATTTTTCATAATTTCCTCGAGCACTTTTCATTCGAATTGCATTTCTTATGCAATGGATTTTTATTTGGAATGTCACACGCGCTGGAATTCAACTCTCGCACGCATGGATTTTCCACGAATTTTCACGAGCTCCAACACACACACATGTGCTATTGGGTGTGTGTGTGTGCCCACTTATAAATTCTATACTCGATACAGCTGCTGTGGGCCAACGGACCCACAGGCCAACTTACTTTTCGTGTCGATATTACTCTCTAGACTGACGAGCAGAGTCGGCTGCTCGGCAACGGCCGCTACGAAAGTCCCGATTGCGAAATGCCGAACGAACGAGCGGCCGAGGGCCAAGCGCCAAGCGCCAAATATTGCGGCACGCAGCATGCGGCAACGGTAAATCTATCTCACTGCACAGTGGTTCCATTTAGTTGAACTTGATATGCACTAAAGTAATTAATTTGATTAATTATTTTTAAGGACATGAGAAGTAAAGTAAGTAGATTTTATTTATATTCTAATAAAAAGAGTTATAGAATGAAAGTTCTGTAGAGTTATGCAGAATGACATAAATTTTAATAATAGAAAAAAGAATTTTTTTTTTTATAATAAATTTAAAAAGGGATTTTTATTTTATTTTTTAAAAAATTTATATATATTTTTATATGATTTTATAATTATTTTTATATATTTATTATTATTATTATAATTAAGTTTGGTATTCGAACCCTTAACATATTCAACTTTACTCTAGCTCACATTTCATGCCTTTTTCGCATCACTTCGTCACACTGTTGCATGAAGTCAATAAGCACTGCTCTCAGCGTGTAAGTGGGTTGAGTGGGCGTGGCACTTGAATGGGCGACTGTCGGCTGGCAGCTTGTTGCCTGTTGCTTGTCATTTTCGCTCGCGTTCTCGCTCTCGCTCGCTCACTTACCTTCTTCTTCCCACCTCTCTCTTGCTTTCTCTCTCGCTCTCTCTCTGACTGCCTTTAGCCAGAGGCCTCTGTTCGGCCAAGTATTTGGAACAGCTGTTTTGCTAGCTGACTTCGTATAGATTAAACAGAAATAACATAAACATCTCAGGCACTGCAAATTGTTTCTTCTATAAACTTATTTTTGAGTAGTGGCTCGCTAAGTGCCCAAGGCACATACACACATACATACATACATACATATATATATAATATGGGAACTGTGTAATAGACTTGATAAAAATAACACAAGTCTTAATATATGTATTTATATGCATATACTAAATGCCTGCCCAGACATTCATTTCATTCAACTTGAACTTGGCATAAATGATGATTTAATGAATGAAATGCCAGCCAAGAAAACGTTACTCAACACTCACACTCATATGTAAATGAGCGAGAGAGAGAGACAAGTAGAGAGAGAGGGGTACAGTGAGTGTGATGTATTCAATTGGAAGCTCTTGATATACGTTTCTTTCAACTTGAAAAGTTTCATTCTATGATGCGCAGGATGCGTAATGTAAATTATTGTGCATTGCAAATCCTTTTTGCACCCTGCTTTGCCCGCCCCCCTTGCTTCATCCTTGCGAGAATAAACATTGAGCCAACTTTGAGCATAAATTAGCCATGTGTGGAGCATGCTGTGTGTGCGTGTGTGTGTGTGTGGTTGATGCCCACCACTGCAATGTAGCGATAAAGTGCTGCATATTAAAATCTTTCTATGCCTCGAAATGAATTTTGCGAAGGCACCAAACAAAAGCCCGACTTGCGCTGCAAATAAGGATACGCTCAGCTCTGCTCTCCTCTGCTCAGCTCTGCTCAGCTCTGCTATGCATATATAGAATGCTTAGCCACAATGAAGGATTTTGCGATGCGTGTTTGGTGCTTGGCGCACTTTGTTTTGGTTTGCTCTGGCTGCCGGAATGAATATGCGTAACTCTAGATTTCAGTTTCCAGTTTCCAGTTGGCTAATGCCCAGCTACAGCCTGCCATCTAAGTATAACAAATTGTTTATGCAAGCGCAACGTGATTTCATTCCAGCCGACTGCATCTATATGGCTGTGACTTCTAATCCATGCATTCAAGACTATTTACTCGAAACTTGTTTCATAAGCAAATGCAGCCAGAAATATTTATCTAAATGGCAGTTTATAAATGCATTTAAAATAATAAGTGATTTAAGTTTAAGTGATGCGAGTTTGAAATGTTTGATTAAACAATTTATGGATAGACAAATTTCATATTTTATTTTATATATTTTTTAATATTATTTGGCAATTTAGGGATAGATAATTTTCATATTTTATTTTATATTATTTAATATTCGTTGGAATTTATTTATTTACATTCTGTATAAATATGTATATATTTAATATAAAATGTAAATCTAGTTATTTTTTATGCCACATTTTCCTATACTAAGCTTTTCATATAAAACATATACATAAATATATGTATTTGCACTTACATTTTACACATTTTTGTTTTATTTATGTATGTTAACTCTCAGGCAGCAGCATCTCATAAATCGGCACAGATATATCGCATTTATACTTCTCCTTTTAAATTTTGTCTTTCTTTTGTCTCTCCATGCTAGCTTACTGTTAAGTTAACATTACTTTCTTAGCTAACATTATTCTGTACATGCGCTGCTTTTGTCGCCTGGACTAACAGCGCGCTGTTAAGTCTCTCTTAAATAACATTTTGGCCTCCTCCAATTCATTTCTGTTCACCTGGTGCTTCGGCTCGCCAGCTGTCGCCTCGTGTGTCTATGTAATAAATATGTATTTTATTTTTTTTTTCGTCGATTGTTTACATTTTGTTCATAGCTTGTAAAAATGTTGCCATTGACATGAAAGTAGACCAGCTTATTTTATGTTCAAAAGAACTTTTTTATTGAATTATATAAACGCTTTTTTTAATACCTACTTACTGTCTGATGTATTTATTTACAAAAAAAAAAGTTTTAAATTATAATATATTTATTTTTTTACAAGTGTATATGCAAATATAATGTATATATTATATTTTTACATATATACTATTTATATATTATATCAATTATTATGCCTTTACAAATTAAATAGTCTGTCAAGATAAAAAGAAAATTGTTTCATGACATTATTTTTCTCACCTGCTCAAAAGTGTGCAGCAAAATGTTTTAATGCATTTTTTTGATACATATATACATATATACATATACATATATTTTTTATTTTTTTTTTACCTACCTTTCTTTTGACTTTTGGCTGTGCCCCTCCATTTGGCAATGTCTCTGGTACGCGTTCAATTTTTTGTTGGACATGATAATTTGTAAATTTCCTCGACAATGGCCGTGACAATGATTATGCCCACAAAAAACTTTTCCAGAGCCATGGCAAATGGCCTTTTTGTTTTGCTTGTCTCGCTGCCTGCTCTGATTTTGACCAGCTGCAGCATGGCTTCTGCTTTTTTTTTTCGGTTGTGTTTTGGTTGTTTGTGCGTCTCTAGTTGCTGTGGATAAAGTTTTGGCCAAGGTGGCGTACTAACAAAACTTTTCCATTTACTCAAAGAGATGAACTGCCCGCGCGCTTCCAGGCGAATTTTCTTTTGGGCGCGCGTTAATCCTTTTCGAGCTGCGCCAAGGCTGCAAGCATCCAGAGTCAGCTATTTATTGAAAGAGCAGCCCAAAGGCGAATTATCTTCACCTCAAAGTGCTTTATCGATGGCTGAGCAAAGCCAACAGAATGTGTGTGTGTGTGTGTGTGTGTGGGTGTGTCTGTTAAAGCATTCTTTGGCAGTTTGGCGGAACTAATTAAGTTCAATTTAAATGAAATACGAGCTGCGATTTGGCCAGACGAACGGAACGTGGCGAGGAGCATCGAGCGAGCATCATAAAGTCACAGTGAGAGTAAAAATAATGCACGCACACATCACATGTCCAATGGGCCGTATACGCAATCTGAAACTGGGGCTAGGCTGCTGCCGCTGCCGCTGCTGCTGGGAGCTGCTGTTAAATTAATGCCAGCTCGTAAGTTTAACAAGGAATTCAATTTTTTTTGCGCCGCTCCACGCAAGTAAGACGAATAGTGGATACTTTCTTGAGGGCGTCGCCACGCCACGCCTCCCCCCCACATCCGAGCACCCAAATTCGCAGCCATGCACACCCACGCACACACGTTTGTTTGCCTCAATCTCTCAGCGTCCTGCCGGCAGGATGCCTGGCTGCCTCCTTCTGTCCGTCTTTTGTTTCGCCGCGCGTGCTAGTGTTATTTTCGCTCGATGAAAATTGATGCGAAAGTTTTCACCATTAAATAGTCCTCCTCGAATTGAAATGTGAATGCATTGCATTTTATTTTTCGTTTTTTATTTGTTTGTTTTCTTCATTGTTTTATTCATATATTAACAGATTTCTTAAAAATGCAATAAATTTCATATGCATTAACCCCATTCCATCAAATTAATTTATATATATATTTTTTTTTACAATTTTTCTGCGTTTTTTCGTTTCTTTTTTAGCAAATAAACTTATATTTAGATTTCATTGTTTTTAATGTTTTTATTTTCTTATTGTTTTGTTTTAATCTCTGGCTTCTGTACAACAGCTTAGCTATTATTATTTTGCATAGATGTAATCGAAATCATTTTCATCACCATTTAAAGAAACATTCACAATAGTCAAATCGTTTTTGGTTATATATATATTTTCCCATTTATCTTTTAGCTTCTTTATCTATGTCTATGAGTAGTTCTCCTTTCTGCTTCGTTCTTCTTTCTCTGTTCTCTTGTTCTGTATGCTAGTTACGTTGCTTGAGTTTTGAATTACAATTAAACTAAATTCAGTATTTCAAGTCTTTTGTCCTTTCGGTTCCATTAAACTACATTTAAACATATTACATATGCTGTATTAACAAGAGAATTTTTATTTATTTATTTTATACTGTTATAACTGTGATTTCGGCCCGAATTAAGTAGAAAACATTTCGAATCAATTGGTAAATAATTATTTGCATTGTTAACAAATCTCTTTGGCCTTGCTTTTAACTACAATATAAGCATAATAATCATAATCATAATCATAATAATAATAATTGTAATAATAATAAAACTTATCGATATATTTAACTCTAATAATTTAACATAATTTGTGCTTAAGTCTTATTTAGTTTCCCCCATTTTCATATGTTAGCATTACAAACTAAATAAATACATGCTCGTACCATAGCTGTCACTGTGTGTGTGCGTGTGTGTGTGTGTGTGTATGTGAAAGAAATCTATGTTAAGCTTACAAATTAATTTAAAATTAATTTAATTAGCCATCTTAAAAACAGACACACACACACACAAATAAGTATTCTCTATTATGC